AAATGAATTATATATTAAAAATATAATTTATTTTATAAATGTATTAAAATTTATCATTTTTAATATATCATTTAGATTATAAAATATGAATTGAAGTAATAATAATCTTAGAGTTGTAGTACTATGTATCTTTGTTTTGATTTTTTATATATAAAGTAATGAATAAACTTGTTTCAATTTGTAATTTGATCATAATATAGATACTAGTTACCATATGCAAGGAAAAAATTTTATTATCCACGCGACCCCTCAAACCTCAATGCCCTTCTTCTTTAATTTCTCCCCCACCCCACTTTGCAGACATCAGTTGCAGCTAAAAGACACTCGATGCTCGAAGCCCGTCATCAACAATAATAAGGGTTTATATATATATATATGCTTTGAATAATAAGTCGTACAACACAAAATAATTTTTTATTTTTTAAATTCTTCTTCACTCATTATAAAATTTAAATCTAAATTATTTAATATAATAGCTTAAGTTCATTATAAGTTATGTTCAATCCCATTCATGTTTCATGTTTGTGTGCCTTCCTTTTTGCCTTCATTAGATTTGGATACACATTAAGTAATTCTTACAACTACTGTAGCAGAGATGAAGGCCTACCCCTGCAGCCCACAAGTTCCCCATAGCAAATTAGCAATTAGCATATATATAGCAGATGTATTGTAGACTCCAAGCTAGGTAGGCCCACAAACAGCATGTGAGTTTGGTCCTAAAGCCCAACGATTGGATCTCATCTGGCAAATGCGGCTACCCTGCCTGCCCAATGCCCAATGCCCAATGCCCATGGCTCTTAATTTAATTGTTTGTTGGGCTCTCTAATTTCCCCATCCACATCCATGCGCGTTGTACTTTCAATATGATTATTATTAATTAATTAATGAAGCATTATAATACCGCTACGTGTTATCATCGAAGGGTAACCAGAGGTGCAAACCAATTTCCAAAATCAGTATCCTCCTATGATAAAATTATTATATAAAAATAATTACAGAATGGTAGCCTGTCGCTATAATAGATATTTATGAAAATTAATTTTTCTTCATTCATAAAATATTTTATTAACCATTTGTTGATTTGAGTGGAAATAATTTAGCCTCCTCTAAATAAAATTTTAAATTCGAGTTTCGTAAATAAAAAAATAAATATTGTGAGAAATTTCTTTTAATGGGTCTAACGTAACTTAATTTTAAATTATTTGAAATTCAATATAATTATTAGATATTAAAAAATTTTTAAAAAAATTTAATGCTTCTAGTAAAATCGATTTTCAAGTTTAGTAATTTGTTTTAAATTTTAATATTTTGATTTAATTAGTTGAAATTTTTACTTTCATCAATCATTTTTTAAAAAATCCCTCATTTCTCCAAAATTTTTCATGTTAAAAAAAAAAAACCATTTTAATGCATCTAGTTAGTGGGAGTGGTTACAAATTAAGCCAATTAGCCAAACTAAGGCCAATCCATTAATTAATTTGTTCGTAGTAAGTAACTGGCGCGATGGCAGCTGACATGTCAAATCCGTGATTTTGATGAGCAGTGGGGGTAGGGCCCGCAGGCATTTTAGTTGCATGTTTGCCACGTGTGTGGTTCAATATATGTTCGTAATCGTAACATTATCCATGGCATGTAATATATACTCCTTATCTTTCGTTTCTTTCCTTTGGTACGTACATATGTAAATGCATACATACGGATTGATCTCCTCTATTCTTAATTACGTACGTACGTGTACGTATGTAGTCCGTGCAGTGTAGTAAGTTGCTCTGATCAACACGTACCCTGCACCTGCAGTGTAGTCTGCGCACATCCAAGGTTGCATGACTCCAATTCATACCACAGCATAAAGATAAGATATGAGAGATTATATATATTATGTTATTATCATCAATTACTGTAGCTCAAGGGTGGCTTATTTACCGTTTTGAATTTGAGGTTTTTTTTTTTTTTTTATATGTTAGTTGTGCAACATGAGATA